CATAGAAAAACAAACAAACGCACAAAAACTACTTCTCTTAGATCCTTTGTATTTTAGAGTTGAGATCGCGTGCATTGTTTAAAGTGAACATGCTACCATGCGGTTGCTGCTTTATTTAAAAGAAATAAGTTAGTTTAGTTTAACTGAGAAGAAAAATAAAGTCATCATCATCATCATCATCATCATCATCATCATCATCATCATCATCATCATCATCATCATCATCATCATCATCATCATAAAAAAACTGTGCTCCTAAATGTATTCCTGTTCTGGTTATAGAACAACTATTGCTATCAGTTACAACGGTTCTTGACAATGGAGCCGAAAAAGAGCCTTTCTCTCGCTCGAAGATTTCGTTGTGGAGTCCACCAGGTCCATTAAGGAAATAGAATTTTTTTTAAAAAATCATCGCTATCATCATCGTTATCTTCAATAGCTGCAATCACAAAATCATTCATGGCGGCCAAGCAAAACCTCATAGACTTCTATTAATTGTTTTTCTGAAGAACCAAACAACCTACCAACTATCAAATTAACATGCTATTTTATTATTAGCTTGCCAACCTTAAGCACCAAATTATGACATGTGACCCCCCCCCAAAAAAAAAATATTAAAAAATAAATAAAAATAAAATAGAATAAAATAAAATGAAACAAAAAAATATTTAAAAAAATAAATATTTATAAATTATACATATAAATAAAGAAAAGAAAACCTCCCAACAAAAACCCCAAAAACAAAAATTTAAGTGGAACACAGCAGCTCAGATGGACATAGGTTCATCGTACGATTTGCAAGGAATTCACTTGTTAATTGTTACCTCTACGGAGATAGCAGTAAATAGGATGAGACCATATATAATTTCAGAAATAACAACAGGGAAAGAAAAAGGACCTACCTACCAGCGGTGCTCTCCAACAGCCTTCTGTCAATAGTAATGGCGTCGGTCTAACTGATCTTATAAAGACCCTGTGCTATATAATTATAATAATATATAAGATGAAGCATGGCAGCAGTCCAACCCAGCCATGAAGTCACGTGTACTTTTGGGCTTTACATATATTAACACTCATTAATAGTAGCTAAGCTCTAAGTCCGAGCAGAGATTTAGCATTTAATATTGCATTACAATTACATGTACGGTATATTATAGTATATATATAT